AAGGAAGCATGTTACTCAAAAAGAGTTCTTTTCATATCGAGTGCAAGATCGAAAGAATGAATCATCATACATACTACGAGCGAAGCGCTTATTTCAACAATTTCTGGTGGATGGCTATACAATGATAGAATCCTCTCGATTGCGATATATTCGTCAGCATCAGAAGGAGTTGAGAAGTGACTTATATAGTGGCTTGGCTGATGCAGTAGGTCGGGGTGAGACTAATGCATCAAGGGTGGGCCAACTCATTGTGCTACCGAATTCTTTCACAGGGAGTGCACGTTATATGATGCAAAATTATCAAGACGCGATGGCCATTTGTAGATGGGCAGGATATCCGCAGTTGTTCATAACATTCACATGTAACCCTAAGTGGCCAGAGATTGTGCGCTTCGTTAGTGACAGAGGTTTGAATCCAGAAGACAGGCCAGACATCCTTTGTAGGATATTTAAAATGAAGCTGGACCTCCTAATAAAAGATTTGAAGCACAATAAAATATTTGGTGACGTCAAAGCAGGTAATAATTGTAACATTTACAACATCTTACAGATTACCATTTTCCATCTATTGCAACTAACTCAACTTTTAAATGTAACATGTGTTTCTTTTAATAATTTTGATATTACATTTGTCAATTTGATTTAAATTACATTTTAAGAGTATTTTTAAATACGCTGAAAATAAAAAAAATTAGCATATAAATGTGTTGTTTTATTTTGTCACATTCTTTTTATGTATCTCAACATTTAATTCTTTTCAAGGCATGTGTTATAGTAGTTTATATATTCAGACTACAAGATAAAAAATATACATGTCAATAGTTGGTATGTTTCATTTATAATTGAAATGTAACAAACATTTTTTCCCTGCAGTTATCTACACTATTGAGTTTCAAAAGCGTGGTTTGCCTCATGCCCATATAGTCTTATGGGTTACTCAGAAAGGCAAGAGAATATCACCCTCAGAGATTGACAAGATTATATCAGCGGAGATACCTGATGAAAGGTCTGACCCGGAATATTATAACGCGGTAAAAGAACTTATGATGCACGGTCCTTGTGGTCCAGCAAACAAGTCAGCGCCATGCATGGACAAAAACGTTTGCACAAAGCACTTTCCGAAACGTTTTGTTGAACAAACAACCATTGATGAGGATGGTTATCCAGTTTATAGACGACGCAATGATGGGAGACGTGTTACCAAGGGTGATGTGGATCTTGACAATAGACACGTGGTCGCGCATAATCGTACATTGCTGCTGAAGTATGGTGCACACATAAATGTTGAATGGTGTAACCAAACAAGGTCGGTCAAGTATCTTTTCAAGTACATAAATAAGGGCGACGACCGTATCACAGTAGAATTTTCTGAAGCAGTGGATAACTCCAAACAACAACAAGTTGATGAGATTAAAATGTACTACGATTGTCGCTACATCTCAGCATGTGAGGCTGCATGGAGAATATTTGGGTATCCTATCCATTACAGGGATGTGCCGGTGGAACGTCTCAATTTTCATTTGCCAGACGAGCAACCAGTATACTATCACCCGGATGAGCCGATGGAATCTGTTGTTGGAAAAGGCACAGTTCAAGATACAAAATTCTTGGCTTGGATGAAGGCAAATGAAAAATATCCAGAGGCACGAGAGTTGACATACGTTGAATTTCCAACGAAGTTTACTTGGAAACAAAAAACCAAGGAGTGGGTGCCAAGGAAAAGGGGATTCTCAATTGGTCGTGTGTATTTTGTTCGTCCTGGGGCAGGGGAAAAATTCTATTTGAGGACGCTACTGAATGTTATTAAAGGTGCTACATCCTTTGAAGAGTTGCGCACTTATAACGGGACATTATTTCCCAGCTTTAGGGATGCTTGCTATGCCCGTGGGTTGCTAAAGGATGATAAGGAATATATAGATGGGATTACTGAGGCAAGTCATTGGGCATCCGCATATGCACTCCGTAATTTGTTTGTTACTCTTTTATTGTCGGATGTGTTGTCAAAGCCACAATTGGTATGGGAGAAGTGCTCGCAATACTTTTTAAAGGACATACTCTACAACATTAGAAGGAACCTCAATGACCCTGGTATGTTACTAAACTAACTGTTCAATTTTGACCATGTTTCGTGCATGAGTTTTTATCATATTACCAATATTTGTAATAAAAATATGTATACAAATTCTAATTAATATTTTATTCTTATAATATGATTTTAGTCTATTACAAAGAAAAATCTTGACATATTATTAATCAATATTTTATTGTTATAATATTTTACTTTGATGCATTAAAATGCATTAACTAAAATGGAATATGTATTTTTATTTCTTAAATGATAAGGGATTTTTAACTAAATATTTAAATGATTTAAAACATTTATTACAATGCGAAATAATATGACCTAGATCAAAGCAATCCACACTTGAATTAATTGATTCAATTCTAACTGAGTTTCCGTGCATGAGCTTTTACCATATTACAAATATAAATACTAAATTATATGTATGTAGAGTACCAATTGAGCACAGATGAGGTGAACAAATATTGCTTGATCGAGATTGAGAAGTTGTTAAGGAAAAGGTGCAGATCACTACGAGATTTTGTGGGAATGCCAATGCCACCTGAATCTGATATTCCTTCCATTGAAGACACCATAATTCATGAAGAGTTGAAGTATGACAAATCTGTCATGGCCGAGACACATGCAAAATTATTGAAAAACATGAATGAAGAGCAACGAAGTGTCTACGATAAAATCATGGAATCTGTTGACAAGACGAATGGAGGTGTCTTCTTTTTGTATGGTCACGGTGGCACAGGAAAAACATATGTATGGAAGACTTTATCAGCAGCAATAAGATCACGAGGTCAAATAGTGTTGAACGTTGCATCGAGTGGGATTGCATCACTTCTTCTTCCTGGAGGACGTACTGCGCACTCAAGGTTTGCTATTCCAATCAATGTTACTGAAGACTCAACCTGCAATATAAAGCGTGGTAGTCCATTGGCTAAATTGATTCAAATGGCCAAGTTGATTATTTGGGATGAGGCCCCTATGATACACAGGTATGATTTGCCCACAATGAATTTCATTATTATCTGTTCTATTAAATTACAATATAATTGTATTAAAACAAAAAATAATAGTAATATTTATTTTATTATACGTAATAAAATTAGTTTGATTATTATATTGTTTTTTATCATCATCAACATATGAACTGCGTTTTAAACTATTATTATGAATACAATTATTAGTATTAATATTTAGTCTACATTATCTTATTGTTCTAATTATTGATATTAATTACTAAACTTTTAAATTTTCATTCATAAAGCTACACAAATTGCGCCAAAAAAGGTCAAGAATAATTAAATATTTGTGATTTAAAAAAATGCTGTAAAAAAGGTTGCAATAGTAATTTTAGTCATGTTAACTTATATTCAAGGTTTATAATTTAGTTGTAACTTTTATTCTTTTTTTAAATATGTTTAAAAAAAATTAACATTTTTGAACTAACTACACATTTTAAGAGATTATATTTAATCATCATAATTGATGCGTTTAAATGAGTCTTTATACTATAAATCTAATGTATTATTGTTACCTTTTTATATAAATTTTAATAGGCATTGCTTTGAAGCTCTAGATAGAAGTATGAGAGACATACTTTCTTGCTCTCATGATGGCAATCCAAAATTGCCTTTTGGTGGAAAAACGATTGTTTTCGGTGGAGACTTTAGACAAGTGTTGCCTGTCATTCCTAAAGGCACAAGACAGGATATTGTTCTTGCATCTTTGAATGCATCACATCTGTGGCAGTATTGCACGGTGTTGAAGTTAACAAAAAACATGAGACTCAAGAACTTCACAAATGAAACGGCCAATCCAAGTATTTTGAAGCTTTTTGCCGATTGGATACTACAAATTGGTGATGGTGTTCTGGGAGGGAGCGTTGATGGAGAAGCAGAAATTGATATACCGGAAAATTTTCATGTTCCAGTAATGTCTGATCCCATTGAATCCATTGTCAACGCCACTTATCCAGATTTTTTGAAGAACATGAACAACATCTCATATCTTGAAGGGAGAGCAATTCTTGCACCGACAATTGATGAGGTAGACAAGGTCAATGATTTCATGTTGTTGCAGAACAGCTCAGAGGAAAAGACATATTTCAGTTCAGATTCAGCGTGTTCCTCAACCTCAGACAATGAGCTCCTTCAGGAGATTCATTCTCCCGAATTCCTTAACGGCATAAAATGTTCTGGTGTTCCAAGTCACGAGTTGAAGCTAAAAGTTGGTGTACCGGTGATGCTCATGAGGAATATAGACCATTCGGCCGGCTTGTGTAATGGTACCCGACTTTTAGTGACAAAACTTGGTGAACATATTATTGAAGCACAGATGATGTCTGGAACTAATGCAGGTGAGAAATTCCTTATCCCAAGGATTAGTCTAACCCCGACAGATGTGAGGCTACCTTTCACATTCATGCGTCGGCAATTCCCCTTGATGGTTAGCTATGCAATGACGATGAACAAGAGCCAAGGACAATCATTAGAGAATGTGGGCGTTTTTCTACGACGCCCAGTTTTTACACATGGCCAGTTATATGTTGCAGTTTCGAGGGTGACGAGTCCGTCTGGATTGAAGTTCGTGATATGTGACGACGAGGGAAATCGAAAAAAGACCGCAAAAAATGTTGTCTACAAAGAAGTCTTCAATAATTTGTAAAATTGTATGCTTATTAAACTCCAAATATTTTTTATTATGTATTTAATAATGTTTACTCTCATTCCCGTGATAAAATATAATACAATCTTTAATTTGATTTAGAGGTAAAATGATTTTTTTTAGATTTATAATATTTGTATCTTACACCCCGTGCAACGCACGGGTGGAAAACTAGTAGGGAGAATCATTCTACATAATTGCACTACTTTTAGCATTAGCATTTTCCCGCTCAAGTACTTACGTCATTCTAGCTGCACGATTTCACTTAACATGCACGGATCAGATCATTACCTGGGCCGCTCCTTCTATTTTCCAGCATCTTCTCCGATTAGGATCGGATCATCACATGATCGAGTATAGTTCCGTTTGCATCAATTTCACTTAACAAGGTGGACAGATCAGATCAGGATTAGATCATTACCTCGGCCACTCCTTATTTTCTCACATCTTCTCCGATATGCGCCATTTTGATTAGATTTCATCACATAAGATGGAGTAGTTCCGTTTTTGTCGATCATCAGCGCTAGGTAACATGTACTCCTTTCTCCTTCTCATTTTATTAATCTCAATTCGTATTTTCATTCCATTCATTTTTTTCCTTTCTATTTTCAATTTTCTTTAGTGATGGGACTGATTATTACCGCATGATTAGAAGCATAAAAAATTACTTGCCGCTCTAAATTTGTATCTATTGCAGTCTTCACTGAATGAAAGTATGAAACCTACCCAAAACCCTTAATCTATTCAATCCTTGCAACCCATTTAGAAATTCTGCCAATTGATTTCATTTCATATACTCCGTAAGTAATTACGCAGAGAGTTGATGAAACATAATCAACAACACCATCAGGAAGGTGGATGTTCTTCATTCGCTAGCTGGACGCATATCACCATCTTCTTTCTGAACAAGGCAAACTCTTTCTTCCTAATCAGTTTCACAACACTAAATTTTATTTACCTGCTATCTTACGATTAGTTGATTAAATAGTTTGCCTTTTTATGTTTTTGATGATTTTTCCAGTTAATAGAAATAACATTTCAACACTCTTCTCTCTCCATCTAGGTGTTCATCCTCAGTTTTTTTCTTCATTTTAATTCTTCAACAAGGTCAACTTCATCTTTGTTCTGTCAACAAGCTAATGTAAGGTTTGTGCGAGTTCTAGCAGGAAGGATATCTTCGTCAAATTTAGATTCCTATTGAGAACGTAAATCCTTTGGCAATGAAATATCCTTTCAGCTCTACAACTCAGATTACTATTTAGTTTTCCCATCAATCATTCACTTCATTTTTTCGCGTATTTATCCGGAACCCGTTCAAATTTCTGTCTACTTCATTACAATTCATGGGATTCCCATTTCTTGTGTTTTTTCTTCCCAATCTAATAAGTTTCGTCGAATTTAGCAGCATTCGGACTGATTTTTTCACTTTTCAATGTTCTTCTATAGCTGCTTAGGGTTTGCTCACATTCTGGTGCAATGATTTCTTTACTAAATTCAGATTTCAATTGAGAAGTAAGGCATTTATAGTGAAAATTTGGTGTTTACTTTATCCTTTATTCCCTTCATAAATTTGCTGTTTTTTTTTTATTTCACTTCAATCATCAATTCAACTGTTTTTTCAAGTTATATCAACTCAAATTTTAGCTTTCAGGAGATTGCAATGTTACACATGGAAGAGGATGTTCACCCCTGCACCACATTGTTCTAGGGGTGTGTTTTGTTTATTTTCATTATTATTTTTTCCTTTTATGGCTTTCATGTAGGTCCAACTGTATTGTTGCTTTCATTCATTGATTTCATATAGTTTAGGAAATACAGACACGGGCCTAATTCGGTGAAGTTGTAGATATTTTCAGTTTATATTTTCATTTTTTACCGTAGTATTGGGCTTTTAAAAATGTTTAGTTAAACCTCCAAGATGTGGTCTGTGGTCCACGGTGATCTACTGATCCAATTTTCAATAAAGTTTTAAGTTAACTAAGGCAGTATTTCAATTCTCACTCATATCTCTAACTTAGGTTCCATACTCTTACAATTATTGGTTTCAATTTTCCTTGATTTTGCATTCTCATTAATTTGAAATCATAACAAGAGAAACGTAGTTTTCATATAATCTTCCTTTTATTTTTGCTCTTATTTTCCTTGATTAACATGCATGGATGTGACTTATTGTAATTTTTAAAATAAAAAAACAATTGCTTTAATTTAGTTTTCTTTGTTTTCAGGTGATTTAACTGTAGAAGGATATTAATTTCTCCATGTTGGACTGTGCTTCAACAGACATGTATAAGTAGTTGAAGGTAACTTAATCATGAGAGAACCATGAAATATCTAAATGTATTGAAAGCAACGTAATATAGGTATATGATTAATCCTCCTACGTAATTGCGCTACTCTTTGGAGGAGCCGAGGAGGCATTTCCCGCTAAAGTCTAACAAGCATGCTAACTGCACGATATTACGTTTTCAGCTGTACGGCTCCAAATCAACCTGTACGCCTGTACGGCTTCTTCAGGCTGCACCATTTTTTCCCCTATCATCATAGAAGATTGAGTAGTTTTCTCTTGCATTGATCATGCTCGCTATATAGTTTTTACATGTTCAGGCGTGATTTCGATTTAGGTCTTCTTTTCTTCAAAACTAATCATTTGCTTCTCATTTTATCCATCGCATACCTTATTTTCCTATTTTGGTTTTGTTTTGTGCTGGAATTGACTTAATTTGTGTTTTCCACCGCTGCATAGGGTTTGTTCGCATCTAGACCAGAATGATTTTTACTTGAGAATTGAATTCAGATTGAATTTCCATCAGTTGCAATGGAGCAAAGACTCACTATTTTTCGACGCAATTTTCACTATGGGTCATCCGGAAACAGTCTTTTTGTGCTTTAGTACATGGGTAAGACTGCGTACATCCGACCCCCCCCCTACCCCACCGTAGGTGGAAGCCTTTGCGGCACTGGGGTAATGATGATGAATTGAATTCAAATTGAGAATATAAGAAGTTTGATAGAGAAGATAATGTGTTCCATTCCACTTTTATTTCCATCTCAGATCTGTTTCTTTTGGTTTTATTTCACATATCTTAACCAACCTTCATCATAGAATCTTCCTTCATTTTAATTTATAGGGGGCTTGCTTTAGAGCCCGTTTGGTAGCACCAAAATCGGCTGTTTTGGCTGATTCTGCTGAAATTTATGATTTTCTGGCTGGAGTGGCTGTTTTGGCTGATTCTGCTGATTTAAGAAAAAAATATTTTAAAAATATATTTTATTAATAAATTAAAGAAAAAATTATATGTAAAAATAGCTAAAATGGTCCTCTACAGTAACTTCAGCCAATACAGCCAGAAAAGTAACTTAAACCTTACTTTTTCGGCTTATTACACAATTCAGCGCGCGAAAGTAAAAGTTACGTGTTTGGTGAAAAAGCTGGCTGATAAGCCTGATAAGCCAAAAACAGAGTTCTCCAAACGGGCTCTTAATCTATAGGATAGGCATTGTTACACATGGAAGAGATCTTATCCAAATTTATCATGTATGTACTTTTAAAACCTGGTTTTTTAGTGTGGGAGGAGAGGGTAAGGTACTGTCACCTCCGAGTGACATTGAAGTGGAGAAATTTTCATTCATTTCAGAACATCGCAATTTTATTTCAGAACATCGCAATTTTGTATATATATTTAGCACTATGTATCTGTATATTGTTATCTTTTGTATCATTTTATATGACATAAATTGTAAGAATGTATGATTATATTTAAGAATATGATATTAACTCGAGTTCACTAAGAGCTTTACTCCATATGTCTCAATTTATGTGTCCAGTATCCTTTTTTGTTTGTCCAACAATTATATCCAGTTTCTTTTATGAACTCTACTACCTTTTCTCCTTTCTGATTTACCCTCTTTTAATTTGGCATTTGAACAATTTGCTCAACTTTTTAATAAAAGTTAACCAACTTCTGGAAGAAAAATTGCAAAGCTGACCAAATGTGTCATTTTTTCCCATAATATGCGTGCAAAAAGAAATTGGCATCTAATACTTTGGGACCAAAGGAATATTACTTATGCTGTCAATTTGTTAAGGATAAACACAGTGTACTCTTATATTATCTCGACATAAATGTAAGTTCCTATTTCCCTAATCCATATTCTACAATAGTCCTATTACATAAGATAATCTAACCTGTGAATAAGTGAATTAAACATGTCATTTACTCAACATTATATTCTATTGTGTAGGATATGGAGACCATGCGTGTTCTTGTGGCGTGCTGCTTGCAGCAGCAAGCATTCAACAAGTATTACTATGAGTTAGCATCTAAGTTATGCAGCCATGCTAAACACCACAAGTTCACTCTACAAGGATGTGAGAACAGTGAGAACATATATAGATTTTAGTGCCATTTGGGGAGGGGTTCTATTCTTTAATAAGACTTAAGTTGTGGCTTCTGACTTTACTTTTGTGAATCTTGACTTTACTTTTGTGAGTATGCCCTCTTTTTAGACTTAATTAGGATATGGAAGAAAAAAATATCACTAAATTAGAAAGTAAGATAAAAACTAACAGCTGGGAAACAAGTTAACATCTAGAAAATAAATGACTGGTGTTATGAACAAAGATTGTAAGTAAATGGTCTGTTCTAAATTTCTAATAAAAGTTTTGATGCTAAAAGTTCAGATTTTGTTCTTCCAACTAATTCCAGTTTTAACTTGGTACTACACAACATTCTTTCTACCTAATAGCTATACTTGTGGAGGGTTTTTTTCCCGCTCACTACCTTATGCATTACAGTCATGCAATCAACTAACCAGGATCTTCTACTTACTTTATTTTTGTTTTTACCTTTCCTGTATCGTGCAGGTACTGAAGAATATCACATGCTTCCTAATTTATTGAATCATCATAGAGCAATTTTAAAAAGTCATTGTAACTTGTGGGATTGGGGGAAGATAGAAATAGGGGTGTGGGAAAGAACAATTATGAATGTGGTTCTTTATAAGCTTTTTAAAAGTGATAGTTGTATTTTCTCTTCTTTCTCTGAGCATGTCAATCTGTTTTTTTAAACTACATAGTGATTTTTGTTGTGAAACTAGAGCATTGGTTGATACAATGATAGCTTTACAAGTGAACATACTTCGTCTATAATAGTGAGAGACAATCTTTGAAAGGAGTTTTTTACATTATTCATTTCGGACAGATAATTCTATGTTGCGCTCTAAAAAAATTAATATGTAAACAGATTTAGTGTAGCTCAATATGTAAATTCAATGAAGAAGACCTACAATGAACTTAAATGTTTATTATAATTATTTTTATATAGGTATTGAGAGTAGATGTCATGTGGTGCTATTAAGGAATATACGCCATTCAGTTGAACTTTTTAGGAAAAATTGATAGTAATAATCCCAACTATTGGCGGTCCGCTCATAATAATCCCAACTATTGATTATTACAGAATAATCCCAACTTTAGGGACCTTCCGCCAATAATGGTCCCTATGAATAAATTCTTGTAGTTTCTAAAGTGGATGAGGTGAGATATAACAAGTAATCCCTCTAAATAATCTCAACTTTTAATTTTTACGCTTAATTTCTATTTAAAATTCACTTTTTATAGATGTAATATATGGTCATGGACCATTATTGGCGGATAGTCTATATAGTTGGGATTATACAAAAATAATCAATAGTTGGGATTATTTTCAGCGGACCGGCAATAGTTGGGATTATTATTTTCAATTTTTCCAACTTTTTAATGGTACTCACAGTTTGATAACTGAGCTTCGAAATGCACATAGTTGAAGCTAATATGATTTCAAGAACGATGTAATACAAGCTAAAAGTAATTGAAATGCAGTTTCAATCCATGAGACATGAGGCTCTCATCCAAATCTTAGCCAAGATAAATTACTTGAATGTTAACTTATGAGATTACCATCTACAAGAGTAGGGAAAACATTTGATACAAGTTGATGTGTTTTTACGAATGAGTTATACATCATAGCCTCTTGAGTAACGTCCTCATATAAATTGAAATTTATACATAGTAGTATATGTTAATATGTTATAGTGAAAACAAACCATTAAGAAAACTTTTAATATTATTTATAATATGGTGTATAGAACAACGTAGCTTTTGTTTTTTTGTTCTTCAAAAACAAGCTTTATTCTGTTTTATCACAGTATTTGTCATTTATTAAAAGATATGAATTACTACAACAGCATCCGTCATCCGTGCAACGCACGGGTGAAAAGTCTAGTCTCTATTAATCCAACAAGTCATCTTCCCGCTCGTGACTGAGGACATTTGAGTAAATGCATCAACCAACAAGTCATTTTCCAGCTCGTGACTGAGGACATTTGAGTAAATGCATCAACCAGCGTCTTCTTTCGCGTATTACACTAGCGTCTTCTTCAACCAGCATCGTCCTTGAACACCAGATTTCGCACTGAATTTGTGTAAATATTGCTACGCTTTCTACTCTTCCGAATTAGAGTAAGACTCGCTTATTCTTCAGAGTTTGGAAATTAGGGCTCTCGAATCGCTTATTCTGAAGTTGGAGTGTAGATTGCAGCTCTCTTATCTTCCAACAACTTCAGATTCATCCTACTTAAGAAGTTCCTGCCTCTCTCGAAGGAATCGAAGCCTAATTCTCCTACGCGGTTCACAACAGAGTTCTTCATTCTACCCACCACAGGTCCACAACGTTTCTTATTCTTCGTTAGTACGACATGCTATTTTTCATTAGTTCCCTATTTTGTAGTGTATTTTATACCCTAATTTATTGCTTCAGGAAAGAAATTCTGAATACCATGGTAAGGGTGAAGAAAATCGCTACCAAGCAAGGTCTGTATAGATAAAACTTGTTGTGTTTTATTGCTTCAGAAAAGAATTTTGTTGATCTTGGGGACCCTAATTTACTATCTTCTTCGTTTTCAGGTGCCGGATCATCTGCTTTGACGATGCTAGTGCGTCTGATATGATTTCCTATGGTTTATATTTGTGTCTTTTGTATGCTTAGATTTTCATTGTAATGTTCTGTTCTCGTTTCGTGGATATAGGTGCCGCCGAAGAAGTGTAAGCGGACGAAAAGTAAGGCCATATAGAAATTGTTGAGTAGCTTTGATTTTATCATCAGTTTCATATTTTCTTTTTGGGCGTGAAATTAAATACGGAGTATTTGACAGTTTCGCGTGTTTCGTTTACTAGATTCCAAATCTGGTTCTGCTCCTTCAGCACGGAAGCCTCATCGCTTTAAGCCCGGAACTGTTGCTCTCCGAGAGATCCGGAAGGCCCAGAAATCATGCAATTTTCTTATTCCTAAAGCCCCATTTGTCAGGCTTGTACGTTCTATCAGTTCTGCTCTTTCCCTAAAGCTTTACTCATAAAGTACTATATCGTTTGATTAGTATACTCTTTAACCTTGTGAATAAGATGATTTCCAAACTGGATAACTATGGAAATCTCAAAGTGACTTAGCATGCCAAAACATGTACTGACTTTCTCCTGAGAAGAACATGAGTGGGAGTCCAAAATTTATTGAATTTGCTGTCTTTCTATTAAATAAAGTGATAGATTAGAGTGATGTCCCTTTACATCTTCATGATCCCCATGTTAAATTTTGGGTGGGAGGGATGGGGAGTTTTCATTTTATCTTGATCTGCTTACCTTTAGGAGTTAAAGAGACAGACAATCTACCAGAATGGGTCGTTGGATAACTCCTCTAGATATGAACCAAGTCTTAAGAATGTAAGGACATCAGATGTAGATATACTTCTCAGTGGCCATTAAATAGTTAATTAATTAATTAGTTAATGGCTCGTGCATTATCTTAGTATGTTTTGTAAATTAATTCATGACTCGTTCTCATAGATCAAATCAAATTTTGGGTGAAATTATGTGGGCTGTTCATCTTACTAAATGGCTCACATCCACAATCATTCATTTACTTCAAATCTAAGTTAGACCAAAAAATCATATGAAACTATGGCATACTATACTGTTAATGTGATTCTATTGGGTTTCTAAATTAGAACCTGAGCTGGTTGTGTGCCGTCGTATATTTAATTTGAAAGCTCGAATGCTGTGTAAACTACGTCAAATGAATTATTCATTTTGTATTTTAGTATGTTAGCCTATGAAAAAACTGCATCTGTGCATATGTGATGCAATAGCAAGATTTACAACACTTTGAGAATGCTAAATTTGGAGTTCTTGAGTATTTGCATGACACTATGAATCAACAAAAGGCAATGCTCTATGACTTTTGTACTGATTTTTGACTGTTTTTCTCACTATGGTATTTTTCATTTCCTTAAAATGGAGTTCCATTTCTTCTTAATTGTGGCAGACTAAGGAGTTAAGCATCTTTTATTCACCGGATGTGAAACGCTGGCAAGCAGATGCTCTTCATGCACTTCAGGAGGTATGACGGTACTGTGTACATGTGTTTTTGTTATTATTTGTGATTACCTTTTATGTGCATCAAACAACTGGATCCTCTACATTCAACAGATGTGAAGTGAAACTTAATTTTTTCTGTATTCCATTTTTTTAATAACCTATAAAACTATATATATGTATATATATATATGTGTGTGTGTGTGTGTATACGCACACGCACACACACTAGGAAGTTAACTCGATCACAGGGGTATGTCCGAGTATAGTAAAAGTTTAGCACTCTACTGCCTCTCTCAGTAATGTACATGGCTCAACCACAACACAAATATCTAAACAAACTAACCAACTAGCCCACACACTGATGCAGCCAGATGTCACCCCCCACTATCAGTTGTTTTTAAGCCATACCGGTATATACAAGGGTAAAAATGTTAGTAATCAACTAGTCATCTCCGGGGGACGGAGGTATAACCTATCTAAAATTGTATACCCAATCACCTTCATTTGTGTAATAGACAGTGCAGCTCCAAAAAGTTCAGAATTCCTTGTTTTCCAGATAGTATAGACAGTGCAGCTCAATGTTAGTCTCACTGTTTGACTCCCTAGACTTGTTCCTCTGAAATACTTCTTAAAACATTTCATTACACTGTTGAGAGCAGACTTCCCTTATCCTTCCACTTGCATATCTCCTTCCAAATTGTACTCACTTGCCTGACACCTGAAAGACGAATTCTAAACAGTTTCCAGGTGGCCTGTAACATAAGCTGAAGAATCGATCTCCATCGAAAACCAAAAATTTCCTGCAGTATTTGATTCATTCCTGATGCACAGCCATAAAGTAAAGGAGAGCCTAGGGGTGGGGGTGTAACTCTTCCAGATAAAACTCATCCAGGCTTTAGTCACATCTGCGAGCCATAAGAAATCATAAAAATCACAGCCTTGCTATCAAAGCCTCCTGGCTACCAAAGTGGTCTAGAAGTGAATCCTTGAATCTGTCCAGTTGTTTGAGCAGAGAAGAAGCCCTCCCATTGGGAAAATGGTAACATTTTTCAAGTAGACCCCATGGAACTGTTTGATCCACAGGGAGTCCCTTTTGGCATGTATATTTCATAATGTTTAGGAAAGTAAAGCTGCGTCCCAGGCATTAGGTTCTGTCAGCCTTAAGCCCCCTTCATTTTTGGGTTTGCAAATGTCACCCCAAGCTACTTTGGCTCTTTTCCCACCCCTCAGTAATCCTTCTATACTTCACCAAGTGCCTTATTTGTTTGCTGGGCTTTGATTTTGCAGGCGGCTGAGTCGTATTTGGTGGAACTCTTAGGACATGCGCAGCTGTGTGCTATTCACGCTAAGCGCGTCACACTTAGTAAGATTTTCATTTCCATGGCAATATGGGCTTTGTTTCTCCATACTGGATGTAGATATAGAAAAGTGTTTGGTATCAATTTCAGCCATTGTAGTTGTAAAGCACCATGAGATGACTGCTTTAACACTCCTTTTTCTTGTCTTTATTGCTCAGGGAAGACTGACTTTCAACTTGCCAGGCGCTTGACAGGGAAAGGTCAACCTTGGTGATAGATTTTCTGTATAGATTTGTCTGGACATGTTTTGGTTACCAGTTCCAGATTGTTGAATATAGGTCTTGGTTTGATTTTTCAAACATTTAAACTTACATCACATATACTTTCTTTGTAATATTTGTGCTGAATATGCTTTCAATTTTGCAATTGTTACAAGTTTTTGTTGCTATATTTTATTTTTATTTTTCCATTCATTTGAAATTTAATTTAAGTGCTCATATAGTTTGCCTTAAAAATTTGTTGTTTTAAACAATTAGTTTCTAGATAAAATCTCATTAGGAATTGTTACTGTTGTTTTTGCTTTATGTAGTTTCTTGTGTTTCTTTTAGTTCCATATTAGAGTATTATTTTTAATTTTAGATATATTACTTTTATTTATTATAAGTATGAAGTGATATGCAAAGTTGCGAACATGGAACTAGGCCTGGACTCGGGCTGGTTCGGGTTTGGGCCCGGCCGGGCCTCAATTCAGGAAAGGGGAGGCCCAGAACCGGCCCAGGTAACCCCCGAGTCGGGCCGGCCTGGCCCTCGGTTCAATTTTGTTTTTGCCTTTTCCTAATTAACCCCTAACCCCCCCCCCCCCCCCCGTCACCCCCAAACCATCCCAAACAATCTCAAATGACCCACAATACCCATCCCAGATGAAACTTCATGTCAGGCCGGCCTGACGGGCTGCCCCGTCCGGCCGAGCCCGTTTGGGCACCTTCCCGGTGGAATTTTTTGATGAAATTTTTTGAGCATGTTCCTCATCAAGTCTAGTTTGTCCATACCAAATTTCAGCTCAAAATTCGATCGGGAAGGTCGTCAAATGATTTTTGCAAGTTAACTGGTCCGGAAAATACATATTCCAGACCAGTTAAGTTGCAAAAATCATTTGACGACCTTCCCGATCGAATTTTGAGCTGAAATTTGGTATGGACAAACTAGACTTGATGAGGAACATGCTCAAAAAATTTCATCAAAAAATTCCACCGGGAAGGTGCCCAAATGGGCTCGGCCGGACGGAGCATCCCGTCAGGCCGGCCTGATGAGAAGAGCACTCACCCATCCCAACCCAAAAACTTAAAAAAATTCAAAAAAAAAAAAAAACAAGAAAAAATAATAAAATGGCCTGGACCGGGCCCAAACCGGTCGGACCGGTTAACGTTTTTAGGGGCCTGAGCCCGGACCGGAACCCCAGCGGGTCGGGCCTACCTGAACCGGCACTGTTCCTGTCCGGCCCGGTTAGTGACCTGTTCGGGCCGGTTTCGGGTCGGGCCACCCGGCCCGAGTCCAGGCCTACATGGAACTGTGCCATTCATACATTCATGCAGTATTGAACATCTTAGACTGAAAGAAATATTGCATGAAAATGTTATATTTACATCTATGTTAATAGAATCGGACCAGACCGGGCGGGTCGACCTGGAAACCGGCGACCCGTGCTGGAATTGGTTTGGTTGTATATAAACTCGGAAATGTAGCTAAATCTGGAAAAATCTGTTTGTAGGGTGGAGCAAAATCCCCCACCCTATAGGAAAAGGCTTGCAATTAAGATCCTTGAAAGACCCCAGAAAATGTAACTGAAACATTCCCAGTGACAATTAGGGACAATCAAAAGAAAAATTGTTGTATAGGCCTATTTGTACATGTCTCCTATGTGTCGGTGAACATGTAAAAGATTTTGTATGAATAGGCTATTCACAAACAAAAACATATTTTGTTTGCAAATAATATATTCACAAACAAAAATAGTCTCTAAATAATCTACTCACAAACAAAAAGTTTGTCTACTCACCATGTATGGAGGCACATACAAATGGACGTGTATACAAAGCGTGGTTGTACTCAGATTACATTTCTATTCGATTGAACCGTATATAAATGAGCGTGTATAAAAAGCATGGTTATACTCAAAATACACTCCTGTTCAATTAAACTTTTCTATATACTCATAGTGCTGAAGTTCAGCCTTTTAAGTTGCATTAGACGAAAATATATAATTACACACGGTGTATAGTTTAATTAGTGAGAGCTTACTATTACAGATATTGTTATTACAGATATTGTTATTGGTCTGTAGGTACGCTTGTACTCGAATTTAATGAATACTAGTGTAACACCCGGGTCATGCCCCGGTGGTGTCACTCTCATAAGTGTTCAATTACTTTATCATCTATCGTCAGTTTTTAATACAAAATTCACTATTTTTCGTACATTTTTTCAATTACTATATAAGTATATTAATCGTTTTGCTTTATAAAATTTGAGAAATGTTTAATATTAGTCTCAATTCAAAAAAATTAGGTGAAATTTTCTAATATTACGCTTCATTTTTTGCAAATACGGGATAAAGTATAGCACTTCGATCTCTCCATCACATTGAAAGGTTTCCGCTTTCCTTATTTTGGTGTCCCGTTTAAAAGTTCTCATTCCATTTTAGGAAATAATTTATTTTCTTTAATTACATTTTTACTCAAATTTCTCTTTCCTACTCATTATATGTCAAGTGTCATAATTTCCCCTCTCTTAATTTATCTCTCTTTAATTACTTTCACTTTATATATTTACGTTTTCTAAATTTTGTCTTTCCACTCTTTTTATGCCAAATTACTTTACATTACCACTTGTCTAAAAAATTGTGTCATTTATACATGGGAACCTTCCAACGGGACAGAAGAAGTATCTATTTTATGGAAATTTTGTAAACTTGATTTTTCCCATTTGTGTGATTTTGATTTTGATTTTAAAATATTATTTTTAATATATAAGAGGTATCACTATTGATTTTCTAGATTGATGTTGCATTGTTGTTATTTTTATTATTATTATTATTATTATTATTATTATTATTATTATTATTATTATTATTATTATTATTATTATTATTATTATTATTATTATTATTATTATTATTATTATTATTATTATTATTATTATTATTATTATTATTATTATTATTATTATTATTATTATTATTATTATTATTATTATTATTATTATTATTATTATTATTATTATTATTATTATTATTATTATTATTATTATTATTATTATTATTATTATTATTATTATTCCAATCGTGGATAGAGGAGGGATGACTCTTGAACAACCTCCTCCCAGGACGTGCGGCCACGCTCAGATAGCCATCTGCGTTCTGGGGAGTGACCCGGTAGAAGTAGTGGAACAAATCCAAAGTGATGGTGACACCCGCAGACGTACAATGAATGCCGATATGAACCTATAAGAGTTGGGCATGAATTGCGCCGGGGCCACCTGGAAATAGTTGAAGAACTCCATATAAAATGGGTGAAGGGGGAATCGCAGCCCGGCTTCCACGGAGTCCAAATGCAACATGATCATCCCCGGCCGTCTCCTCATCACATGCTCGGCGCCCTTCAAACTATAGACGAACGGCGGGGGGGAGAAGAACCTAATCTTGTTAATGGCAACGGCATAGAGGACTTGTTCATGTTCGAGGGCACTCTTGATCGGGCAAATATGGCGCTCTACATCGATAGGGATGCCCAGCTCATGTACTTCCATATCAAAGCCGGATTTGGCCTCGTCTCCAGAGTCATAATCGGCGGGACTCTCATTCAGGGGGACGGCATCAATGACGTCTTCCGCAGCCGGGGAAGGGACAACATCCTGAGCACCATCGGTTTGAACAGTTCCCACGGTGGGGGCAGAGCCGGAATGGCCGGAGACGCTGGCCTTTCCAGAGGAGCGCGAACCAGAATCCGAAGAGGAGCCTGAACCGGAGCCCGACGAACTAGAGCTAGAGCTCAACGAAATCTCCATCGAAGTCATCGTTGCGAGAATTCTAGGCAGAGAGAACAAGGAGAAGAAGGGAAATTACCTTACAAAAAAGATTGGCCAAACTTGGAAGCGGTGAGAAAACTCGAAGGGCAGCAGGAGAACTTGGGAGCAAAAGCCAGAAAGTCGGAAACCCTAGGCATCAGGGGAGTTCCGGTATTTATAGGGGAAGCACCGGGGAAAAACCAATGAGAGGGTGACGCGTGGCGAGGAGCATACCCCGGCAAGAACTCCGCCTCGGGAAACGATACGCGCAATGATGGCTATTCATCGAAAGTCGCACCGTTTTGCCACCAGCCGTCACCTCGATTCACCCGCAATCACCTAGTAAAGTAAGGGCTACTGATCAGGTACGTCCCCTCCCAAGGACACACCAACATACGTAATGGAAGAGGGGATCTCATTGAGCTCAACATACTTCCTTATGTCCCACGCACGCTTGGAACATCAGAAGTGGGGACTTGTGTTGGGTAAATGGCCCAAGCGGGGGTTTGACCCATTCTCCCTAATTAGATGAACATCTTGGGCCCAGAGGAGTACAGCCCGAAGGAGCGGGAGACGAACGTCTCCTCCCTTGGCCTAGCGACGAAGAGCCTAGGCCGAAGGTCATCCAATGCTAGGAGGCGACGGACGTCGTCACCCAGGGTCCATCTCAGCAGACGGCCCAGTCCCAGCGCCAAGGTAAAATCTACCAAGGGTCCATAGACGGACGGCTAGAGGCTCCTTGCTGCTTCAGTAAGGGCGACCCCGGATCTACCTGGACGAACGTCGTCACGGATTAAGCGGGAAACCCAGATTCTGGCGGGAAGCGCATTTAATGATGAAGATTTGGTGGTTGGGACTCCATCCACTCGTAATCCTCCACGTCAGCATAACCAACTGCCCATTGGTGGGTATAAATAGAAGCATTTATTTCATTGTAAGGGTTAGCAACTTTCTATTCTTAGCACTCTAGCTTATAGCCTTCTTACCCGCAACACTTCTACTGTCTTGTAAGACGAACGGCCGACGAGCCTTTAGCGAAAAGTATTGTATTGGGGAGTTATTAACAGATTAATAATATATAATCACTTACTTGCTACTTATTGTTTCTTAATCCATCTCACTTGTTAGTTGGGCTAGTTATTCATACACACTCCACTCGAAACTCTTGGGCTTACGTGTTGGACCCGAGGGTTGAAGGAATAAACCTCAACATCATCATCATCATCATCATCATCATCATCATCATCATCATCATCATCATCATCATCATCATCATCATCATCATCATCATCATCATCATCATCATCATCATCATCATCATCATCATCATCATCATCATCATCATCATCATCATCATCATCATCATCATCATCATCATCATCATCATCATCATCATCATCATCATCATCATCATCATCATCATCATCATCATCATCATCATCATCATCATCATCATCATCATCATCATCATCATCATCATCATCATCATCATTATTATTATTATT